TTACACGAGATCCTGTAATTTTATTGGTTAATCATATAACTGGTGAATTTCACCACTGGTGAGCGTTAAAATTATCCATAAAAAACAAAATTTTAAGTTACACCTGATCTTAAATTTTGATTGGCTATTCTAATACTTTGTGTGACATGGTGTTTAACACCTATGGTGCAGAATAGTACTACCGTTTTTTTTTCTTAAATTTTATAGATATATTTATGGTGGTATTGTTACTTTGGTCTTGAAGAGTTAATCGATCATGTACAATCACGATTGGTTAAGTATCATGATTCTTGGATACGTCTACATCTAACTCACGTTCATAAAATAAGTTTTGAAAGTGATGAGTTTAAAGTTTTACAATAGTTTTGTAATAACATTATTGCCATACATCCAAGTATTATATCTGATTCTGAAGACTTTATAACTCTTTCAGAAAATGCATTAGTTTCTCTTTTGAAACTTGACAATTTGCAAATGGAAGAAGGAAAAATTTGGGAGCAAGTAGTTAGATGGGGAATTGCTCAAATACCTGATCTGAATTCTAACACTGCAAAATGGTTTGAAGAAATTTTTTAACTTTAAGAACTGTTCTCAAAAATTGTTTACCCCATATTCGTTATTTCAAATTACTGGAGATGATGTTATAGAGAAATTATATCCGTATCATCAAATCCTTGAGTTTAGTTTATGGGAAGATATTATGACAAAATTTATGGCTCCAAATAAGGCTATTATTACTTCAACTATTTTACCTTTCTCGAATAATCTCTAATTCTAAATGGTAAATTCGATGAATTGATATTTCAATTTTGTTTGTTTATTAATAAGTTTTTGCACATTATATTTATATTAATATTAGAAGGTGAACATAAGTTAATTCAGAAATTAAAAGACTGTAAGCAAAATGTTAGAAATTTAATCAATACATTAAACTTTTTAAGTCCACAAAAATCTTGATATTTTCAACGTTCAAGCACCAGGACAAATAATTTCTGATAATCAGAAATCAAGATTTTGGGTTACACTGGCTACTAAATCTCGACCAGAAAATTGTTCTCAAGAAGCGTTAGATACAGTAATTGAGGCTTATGGAGTTACTCTCTCACCTCCCTCACCTAAGACAAAATCTGCAGATTTACTAAAGCTTGATAAAACTGAAATTGTTGAAATACCTACTTGCAACATCTCTTTTCCAAATCTTATGATACCTACCGCTATTCCTCCATCCCCAAGTATGGATATATCACTATGGATTACTGCGAAAGGATATAACCCCAAGACTTTTAATTGCAAACCACCTCACGTAAGCGTTCATGTATTCTATTTTTTATATTGTAAGATAGATTAAAACCGGTTTTAAACTCTAATTATTTTCATATAAGTTGAAAACAGAACCGAATTGACCGAATTGCTAAAATTTAATTAATTAATTCTAAGAAAAAAAAAAAAAAGGGATTTAATTTATAGTGCTATAGCACCATAGTACTAGGGTAATATAGCCAATTAAAATAAAAGATCATGTATAACATGAAATTGTTGCAATTTTTAAAAAACAAAAAATAATTTAAAATTTTGTATATAAAACTGCTTTTAATATTCTAATTAAAAAAATTCCTTGCTAAATTCTAGTATAAAACCTCTCTATGCTATCGCCCTAACCCTAACCCTAACCTAACTATGACTTTGACCCTAAAGTAATAAATAAAATAGATTGTTTTGATTTTAGGTTACACCTAATTCTTATAATTACATATAGAGTACGTAGCGCCATGGTGTTATAGCACTATAAGAATATTCCCTTATTATTATTTTATTTATTTGGCTCGAAAGAGATATAGATCTACTATTATTATAAGCTATATACATATTTTATTTTTATTTTTTTTTATAATGTGAATTCCTTTTTCAATTAACGTTCTTAGTATCGATACTAAGCTTTTGTTTTAGATAAAGATTCAAAAAGGCTTGTATATTAATTATACTGATCGTGATTAATCAAATAGAGCCCATTTTAAAGTGACGTAATGCATACAAAAATATGAAGGTGACACGTGCTATCGAAACGACTAGAACTCTGATTGTCATGTGTTTCGATATATCTTCAGGGGTTAAGATCGGCACAGTGCTTAACGAATAAGATTTTACTTGCAGGTTTTCCCTGTGCATCACTCATTTAGCATGATGCAGCAATATATTACAAATATTTCTTAAAAACAACTTTCATTCGTACTCTTCTTACTTATTCATATTTTATTTTTATAACAAAAATGTCAGATAAAGAAGAAATTACTAAAATTATTAGAAAATTGGGTCAATTATGTTTTACTGATTATCAAAGATCAGCAGATATGAATAATCCTGATGGAATTTTTATGCTTGGTTATTGTTATGAACATGGAATTGATGTTGAAAAGGATGAAAATAAGGCATACACACACTATCAAAAATCTGCAGAATTAAATAATTCTTATGGGATGTATAAAGTTGGCCAATGTTATCTTCATGGAATTGGAATTGAAAAGGACGAACATCAGGCATTTACTTGGTTTGAAAAATCAGCAAATGCAGGAAATTCTCACGGAATGTATCAAGCTGGTAATTGCTATCTTCAAGGAATTGGTGTTAAAACTGATAAACAAAAAGCATTTGAGCATTATGAGAGATCTGCTAAGGCAGGCAACTCGAAAGGATTCTCTAGAATAGTCGAATTATCTGACGAAATGGGACGTGATGATGGAATGTTTCAAGTTGGCTATTGTTACCTTCACGGAATTGGAGTTAAAAAAGATGACCACAAAGCATTCATTTGGTATAAAAAATCAGCGGAGAGGGGAAATTCTAAGGGAATATTCATGCTTGGTTATTGTTATGATTTAGGAATTGGGATTGAAATTGATGAGTGCAAAGCATTTGAATACTATCAGAGATCAGCAAAGGCTGATAATTCAAAAGAAATCTTCAAGACAGTTTTATCTGCTGAAACAGATCATGCTAACAAAATGTATCAAGTTGGCATTTGTTATCTTCAAGGAATTGGAGTTGAAAAAAATGAATATCAAGCATTCACTTGGTATGAAAAATCAGCAAATGAGAGAAATTCTAACGGAATGTACCAAGTTGGGGTTTGTTATGATTTAGGAATTGGAGTTGAAAACGATAAGCAAAAAGCATTTGAACACTACAAAAGTTCTGCTAAGGCAGGCAATTTAAAAGGATTCTCTAAAACTGTCATTTTATCCGATGAAATGGGACGTACTGATGGAATGCTTCAAGTTGGTGATTGTTATCTTCAAGGAATCGGAATTGAAAAAGATGTACACCAGGCATTTATTTGGTATAAAAAATCAGCAAATAAGGGAGATTCTAACGGGATAAATTATGTTGGCTATTGTTATGAACATGGAATTGGTGTAGAAAAAGATGAGAATAAAGCGTTCACATACTATCAAAAATCAGCAAATACGAATAATTCTAACGGAATATTTCAAGTTGGCTTTTGTTATTATCATGGGATTGGAGTTGAAATGGATAAACACAAAGCATTTGAGCATTACTTAAAATCAGCTG